CCCCCCCCCCCCCCAAGAGTTATGAAGCCTTGTGGCAGAAGCCAGGTTATATTGGAAATTGGAACCCGAAGACCCTCCTTTCAAAGGCAATAAACATAGGCTGTTAGAACCATGTATGAAACAGGGAAATCAGCACAAGTTACGGCAGAAATGAAAACATACAAACTCACACTGCTTGGCATCCGAGAAACAAGATGGACACAAGCTGGACAGTTAACTTTGGCCTAAGGAGAAACACTAATATACTCAAGGCATGAGGACGAAAACTATGGTTTATACAATAGACTACAAGCAATACTGGAACAATCTCCAGATAGGGATCTAAATATCTTAGTGGGATATATAGATGCTAAGATTGCAAAAGAAAAAAATAAATACGAAGAAATAATGGGGCACCATGGTATAGGGGAGAGGAATGAGAACGGTGAAAGACTTGCAGACTTCTGCGCAGCTAATGAGCTCGTTATTGGGGGCAGCCAATTTCAGCATAAGAATATCCACAAGGTAACTTGGGTTCCCCCTGACAGCAAAACACAAAACCAAATCGATCATATAATATGTATTAGCGAAAATGTTTGAAGGTCTCTACAAGAAGTACGAGCAAAAAGAGGAGCCGAAGTCATATTTGATCGTCATTTTATTTGAGCAAGACTCAAGCTAAAGCTGAATAAAAACTGGGAAGAGCCAGCTGCTAAACGACTAAAAATCAAATATAACACTTCTGGCAAACGAACTGAAACGAAATGAATTCATGTCTACCTTGAGAAATAAGTTCTAGGTGCTGCAAGACCAAACAGATGATGGCCAGATAGAACATACATGGAAAAACATAAAGATGTCTGTGACATCCACTTGCAACGAGGTTTTAGGACCAGTGAAACAAAAACTCCAACACTGACCCTCACTTAAAATGTGCACAAAATAAAAGAGAGAAGAGAAATGAAGAGTGTAGTTAAAGGCAGCCGCACCAGGGCGGAGACAACGAAAGCGCAAGAGAAATATAAATCAGCAAATCAAGGGCTAATAAACAGCACCAAAAAGATAAAAAAATGCTCACAAAGATGGTCTAGCATCAATAGCAGAAGACGCAGCCATAAAGGGAACATGAAAGAGTTCTATGACATAAAGTACATTAATAACGGAACGGAAAGAAGAACAAAAGAAGAACAAAAGATATAGCTGGAACACTTTAAGGACTTTCTAAACAGACTTCCACCACAGACACACCAGACATGCAACCAGCAAAGAAGAAAGTGCCCCCCCAAAAAACGAGAAATAGCCATGGATGTCACGCAGCTCAAAATAAGTAAGGCATCGGACCGGATAACATCGCAAGAGAAATGATGAGAGCAGATATAGATACAATAGTCAACATGCTGCACCATCTGTTTCAAAATTTATGGGAAGAAGAAAGAGTTCCAAAAGATTGGAAAGAACTATACCTCATCAAGATACCAAAAGAAACGGGATCTCAGCAGCAGTGCAAACTACAGAGAAATTTCACTGCTGTCTGTACCAGGAAAGACTTATTTTGAATAGAAAGAAAGACCAGGTCGTCACGCAGCTACGAGATCAACAGGCTGGCTTCCGCCGAAACAGATCATGCACAGATCAAATTGCAAAACTACGAATCATTTTAGAACAGTCCATGTAAGGGAATTCCACCCTATTTATAAATTTTATCGACTACAAAAAGGCTTTTGATAGCTTGGACCGATAAACCTTGTGGAAACTTCTCCGGAACTATGGGGTACCAGGAATCTAAACAGGGTCATTCAGAGTTCTTATGAAGAAATGAAATGCAGGGTGGTACACAAAGGTAGATTCAAAGACGCCCCTTTAAAGTGGAAACAGGAGTCAGACAAGGATGTCTCTTGTCCCGCTTCCTATTCATCCTTGCCATTGACTGGATAATGAAACAAATCCACAGACAGCCTATGCCCCAGACGGGGTAAAAGGCATACGTAGAACTAATTAAGTATCGTAACATGGTCATAAGCTTTATCAGTTGGTACCGTAACTTGGTCATAAGCTTTATCAATTATTACCGTAACTTGGTCATAAGCTTTATCAATTGTTACCGTAACTTGGTCATAAGCTTTATCAATTGGTACCGTAACTTGGTCATAAGCTTTATCAATTGTTACCGTAACTTGGTCATAAGCTTTATCAATTGTTACCGTAACTTGGTCATAAGCTTTATCAATTGGTACCGTAACTTGGTCATAAGCTTTATCAGGTTGTACCGCAACTTTGTAATAAGATTTATCAGTTGGTACCGTAAATATGATTTACCAGTTGATGCGATGAACTAGTTCTTCATTTGAATGTCTCAAAAACGAAAGAAATGACTGTCGTTTTAAGAAAGGGTGAATCACCCAATTTCGTATCTCACAAGAAAAAAAAACAAAAAAAAAAAACCCAAAACAAACCAAACAACCAGGTTAGAGCAAACAGACTTAGTAGTACATATACCTATGTGTCACAATTAATGAAAAGCTTACTATGACATGAACACGGCCAAATTCTGTTGTAAAAAAGTCAACCAAAGTCTCGTCGATCTTAAAAGAAACTTAAAAAATTTTTTTTTGCGTAAACTAACAAGTTATTTACTCCCGGCTACAAGATGGCAGAATAAAAACAACAAGAGCACAATAGGAAAGGAATCTGAAGTTTGGACAAAAATGAACTGGAAGAAATAGAAATTTCTGTGGAAAATACCCTAAAGAATTTGGCCAACCTCAGAATGTATGCCTTCGGAGACGTATTTTTCCTTTCGTAAGATGATAAAATAAAGCTGAACAGCTCCTTATATTGACATTATACCCAGTTCCCTTGATACCGGGCTCCTCCACCTAGTGTGCCGCCGAACCAATGTCTTAACGCGTATATATCACTGATCAGAGTTCAAGTGGCGCCTGACCGGCAGCAGTAACATTTCTCGCACATGATCTCATTTTTGAAATGTTTTCTTCCAATGCTATTCCTGGATAGCTGGATATTTTTGGATCTGAAAGTTTCTTGGACTGTTCAGAAGCTGAAATTTTTCAATCATAACAAATTCAAACGTGTTGCCATGTTTAATTTCTTGACATGACTATGTGGAACAATTTTTCGACTTGAATTATGTCATTTGATGATTAGTGTTAAGTTAATGCTGTCTTAACTATAATGAGTTCTTTCAGATGTCGAGAAGACCTCGGCCATTCAAGTTTTTGAGGCTTACAGTACATTAAAAAAAAGGTCGTAATTATAGTTTTAAAAACTTTAAACATTTTAAATACTGTAAAACAATCAGTTAAACACCAATGAAATTTTCCTCCAACATTTTTGGTTAGCGATATATATATATATATATATATATATATAAAAGAAAAAAAATTATATATATATATATATTTTTTTTTTTCCTTTTTAAAATAGAATCAAAGGTTACAAATGTACTCTAATCAAAATCTTGACCTAACAAACTGAGGACAAAGCAAGTTGCATACTCTCTGAATAACTAAAGTCATAATTAAAATTTGACCCCCCTCCCCTCATCCCCCCCCCCGGGGGCCAAACAGCGATCATTATAAATTCCATTTTATTAGATGATCCTCTTAATTCCTTGAAAGTCATAGCATTCTCTCGATCTGTCCTGCCTGGAAAGTGGGTTGAAAGTGACAATCATTTGTGACAATCATTTCAATCATGCAGCTTTAACACGTGCACTTAAGCACCCATTGATTTTGTTCTACATACTAAACTTTTCTTATCGCCTAATTTCATCCCACTACGTGCAGTTAATCAATATAATAATTCAACTTTGAATTCCATTTTAAACTAACAACAATACTTTATACGAATATGTATGAAGCCGTCGTCTGTAATGATAGGATGTGTATGGGTGTATGTATGTTCTCCCATTTGATCTTAGTTACTTCTTCATCCCGTACTTGATAATGATTGGGATGAACCTGATATGAGATGACTGTAGTTAACAATGATCTGAGGTCGCGTGACCTCGTGAATACAATTTTCACATTGGAAAACCTTGGTCCCGAAGTCAGGCCCGTTCTTAGGCATACGCTGACTACGCATCCGCGTAGGGCCCCAAACGTGAGGGGGCCACCGCAGGGCCGCTTAACACCTAAGGGATATAGCAATGATGCACACACAAACAAATTATTGATAGCCAGGGGCGATCTCCTTCCTCAAAATAAGGAAATAAGTGCCACCAGAGCCATTCTTAGGCATATAGTCAAACTAGGCAACCGCCTAGGGCCCCACTACCACCTGCATGTCCATATATTTCAGAAGTACACATTTTCTCTAGTGGCGGAATTATCAATATGGTTAGTGGTTACACACGAGCAAAGAGGAAACATTGATGAAGGCAGAATGGAGGTGCCGCAGTGGTGGGTGGTGTTTTCTCCTCAGCTAGAGGGAGCTCCACCCCCCGGACCCCCTTCCGGGGCCCCCAACCTACGCTCTATGCTTAGGGCCCCTAAACTCCTAAGAACGGCTCTGCTGAAGTTTTTAACAATCTCTCGCTCCCCCCCCCAGTTCCTGCACCCTAAGCCTTAAAAAAATTACACCCCCCAATCAGCCCAATCTAACATAGAACTAATANCCCAAAAAAAAATTACCACAGAACAAAACTTTGTAATAAAATAGAGAGGTATGAACATAATTCAGATATGTAGTTTTCCTTTTTTTTTTAAAAATTACCTTACTAGAAAAATGTAAAAAAATGTACCAGCACAACTAATGCTCAAAGGAAATTCATCGTTAAAAAATCCACTGCTGCTAATTAAAAAAACACCAAATAAACCTGATTGTTGATGTGTCTTCCCGCACCCCCAGCAATGTCTGCCACACCACGTGGAGCGGGCGGCCCTGGTGAAGAGCACCTGGCATATTCTGATTTGGAAAGCACCGCCCATAGCTAGCATTGGCGTCTCTTTGGTCGGCTCTGACTGACTTACCGTGACGATCCTCTTTAGAGGTAGCCCGGGATGATCCTCTCTAGAGGTAGCCCGGGATGATCCTCTCTAGAGGTAGCCCGGGATGATCCTCTCTAGAGGTTACCCGCGATGATCCTCTCTAGAGGTAGCCCGGGATGATCCTCTCTAGAGGTTACCCGTGATGTTTCTCTCTATTCAGTAATTTTCGCCAGCAACTTCAAATGGGCCAACTGTTGAAATCTGAATGACGAGAACGGTTTGAGATCACAAGAGTCCATCTAAATTCCATTGATATGTGCGTCCACCCCGACTCCCCAGGGATCAATGCGAATGTTTGGTTGTTTCGGGGAGAGAGAGAGAGAGAGTGGGTAGCGAAGAGTACAGTCTGTGGGTCTCAGAAGAGTTCCGTTTGTTCGGACCATCCTTTTCCTTTTTGCAGATCAGGTTAAATTTTAAATGCATTCTTGGCCCCTTGAAAGAGCTGGTGTTAAACTACTGCAGTGGTCTGAGCTTTTCATTATTAAACATTTATTTAAACAAAACAGATTAAAAACAAACTATAGAATATTCTATAACGTCCTTTAAACAAAATGGAATCTTTTCAAGATCTCGTTCACTTTATCGGCAGTTTGGTGGAGAAAACCCTTATATGTACACAATATAATGTGAGTTATTACGGCAAACCCCTGTGTTTTAACATAAACATGTTACTATAAAAAGAGCAAATAAATAATTTAATTCTTGTATTTGTTTTAAAGTAGTTTTTACAATTGCAGAAGTAAAATATTACTCCAGATGTCACTTCGCCCCTGATCTTCGCCCCCCTTAAATATTTTCTTATCAGATCTAATTTATAAAATTGCTCTTCACTCAAAAAGCATTGCTGACTCCTGACCCACGTCAATTAAAATTATTAAAAACAATATCAATTTTGTGGGAAAATAAATCATTTTATCATATAATAATAACATGGATGTATATTCTGTATCCATGTCTATAAAACAAAATATTGCAATATAAGGATTACTTAAAATGGCTCCTCGTCGGAAAAAAATCCGCTATTAGAATAGCCGGTAAATACTACAGACGATAACAAATGAAAAAAAAAGTCAGTTTTGATCCCATTTTTTTCAGAATCATTAAAAATAAAACATTGAACACGATTTAATGTTCGGGGAATAAAAAAGAACGCAGCATTAATTCACCATTTCGCATTAGTTAAAAGGAGTAATTATTATTTAACTAAATTGCACACTAAACGAGACCGACGGAGTTCGACTAATTACATGCAGTTACCGCGCAGTGTCGATTAGAACCAAGATGACACATTTTACTACATCATTAACACCCCGCAAAATAATGTTAATTGTTAGAACTATGGAAACCCCCCAGGGGCCTTGAAAACATGAAAAGAAACGAAATGACCATAATTTCAATTTTACCTTTAAAAAAAAATTCAAATTCATTAAATTAGTATAGGTTTATGTTAATGAAATTTAAACACATATAAATGTGTAAGTGACAGCCTAGATGTTGAATATTGCATCGATAATCCCAGACGAAATCGTCGCAACAGACTTGAGTAAATTATAACTTTATCTTCACTAACTTATGTAAACTCTGTAATGGCTAGTTAGTTTTAAGTAAAGAAGCGTAAAGAAACATTCACTAGAATTTTGCGCAACTGAAATAGGACTTTATTTTTAATCAGTCCGAAGTCTGTGATAAATGAACAAGAGTGTTCAGATGTCTGCCAGCTCTAGCAAGAGCAGCGGGGTAGTCGAGTTCGTTCCCTTGGAGATTTTCGTCACCAACGAGCAGCGACGGGTGGCTGAAATCATCGTTGACTTCACCTTCAGTTTCATGGTGTCCTACCTCGGCATCGTCACCAACGCCATCGTCATCGCCGTGTTCACCAAGCAAGGGTTCAAGGACAGCGTGGCGGTCTCCATGACAGTCATAGCCGTCTGGGATTTTCTCAAATGCATCGGCGGTGCCGCCCAGCGCATGTCCGGTCCGATCGGGCTGACCTCCCTCGTGGCAGCCAAAAGTTGGACCAACATCTCCGCGACGGCTTTCAACTACTTCATATCGTTCTCCACGTACGTGTCCAGCGTGCTGGCGGCGTACGTCGCGGTGGAGCGCTGCCTGTGCGTCAGCATGCCGTTCAGAGTCAAGGACCTCATCACGCCCAGAGTTGCGCTTTTCTTCTGCCTGCTCATCTCTTTCATCGTCTTCGGCTGCTTCATGGTCATGTTCTTCGTCTACGACATCGTGTGGGTCTACAGCGATCAGTACAACGCCACCATCGCCGTCTACGTGAACAACAACTTCTTTAAGAGTGTCTCCGGTCCGCTGTTTCAGTATTATAACCTGGCGGGGATCATCTGGCCGACGTCCAGTCTGGGCATCATCGTGGGCTCAACCGCCATCATCGCGTACCACCTGCGGAAATCGACGAAGTTCCGGTCAAGTATGACCGGCGCTCTATCCGGAACGGGAAATATGGACGCCTGCATAGGTCAGACATTGGGTGTAAGATTTTCAAACTCTTAAACACATTTTTTTGGGGGTAAACTTTGAATTATCCTTGAAATGTTTGACTCTCTAAAAAAAAATAAAGAAATAATATCTTGACATCTTTATAGATCTATTTTTTTAGTACAAAGCATACACTGCAAGCCAATGGGTATCTGTTACGATTAACGTATTTGCCTTATAATCATCATCAGTGGCGCTACAGCCCATGTAGGGCCCATGGCCTGCTCCACCGCATCTTTCCATTCGGATCGATGCATGGCCTTCTGCCTTCATGTGCGAGCCCCCAACTGTTTCATGTCCTTCTCTACATCGTCGATCCGTGTCAGTCGACTGGTGACTCATAATAGATAAATATTATATAAATTCTCCATCAATGAGACTCTTGAGCTCATTGGAGCTCCTAATTTGATTAGGTGGATCTGGTATAAAATAAAGCTGTCACCAATCTGACCCAAATAAATGACCCACTTTTAAACTCTTAGAGATGGCCCAGTTTCAACCGACCCTTCTTAGAGTTGACCCAGTTTCAAACCGACCCTTCTCAGAGATGACCCAGTTTCAAACCAACCCTTCCTAGATATGACCCAGTTTCAAACCGACCCTTCTTAGAGATGACCCAGTTTCAAAATGACTTTTCAAACTTTTTAAGCGTGAAGAATTTTCATGATATATAGATAAAAAAACAACAAAAAATAATAATACTCTGTTGGTTTCAGAACACGGGCCAAAGGTCAAAGAGTCCAAACTATCCCAGCGGGACAGGCAGGTTGTCAAGATGCTCCTGGTTGTGATCGGTGTCAACGTCCTGACGCTGACCCCGAGAATCATCCACTACACGGTCAAGTACTTCGTCTACGAGTTCTACTTCCTGAGGCTGTACCACAACCTCTTCATCTGCTTCACGTACTTCCTGGCCGCCCTTGACCTCACCAACGCGGCCGTCCCACTTTTCATCTTCTACCCGATGAGCACGGCGTTCAGAGTTACGTTCTGGGGATTATTTGGTTGCACTGCGATTAAAGAAACAAGAGTCAGCAGTGCGTCGCCTGACATGAAAATAACGAAACGCTTGTAACATCCCTCTCCTGGCCACAATAATTTCTTTTCACCAAATTCAGCACCCATTATGTGCTCGCTTATGCAAATTTCAAACGTTTAAATGTATTTTCTACTCAACAAAGCACATAAAACTACATTTTGCCACTTACAGAGACAAGTATTATTAAGTTAATATCGCCTCTTTCAATGGATAGAAGCGCCAGAGCAAATCCTTACTATCGTTAAATTATTCAAAAAAAAAGTATTATATTACAGATTCCATTAGACAGTGTAGTTTAACTGCGACCACTAAAACAGAATCAATGTTCTAAGTTTCACATTCCTAACCCTCAAATTTGTTTTATATGAAAAGAAAAAAAAAAGTTTCAACAATTAGGATGTATTCTAATATACGTATAGGTAGCTCATGTTGCCAGAATGTCAGACGACCGGTTGCTCAAACGAATATTTTATGGTGGACTCAAGCAGGACGTGCATGCGGTTTGCTGGTTTGGGGAGGGGGGGGGCAAAAGTAATGTTTTGATGACACGTTGAAATCATCTTTAAAGGTATTTCACATTGACCTGGACTTGTGGGAACAGTCCTCCAAGAATCAAGACTCGTGGCACTCTTCTGTGCACAAGGTTGACAGAACAGCTACTGTAGAACACAAAAGACAAGAAAATACCGAGTAAACTCTCTTCGCTGGAGTTACCCCATTCCCCGCAACTTCTACACCAGTACATTTCGAGCCAGAATCGGCCTGATCAGCCATCTGCGCACCCACAGACAGATTCAGCCCCAGCTACAAGCCAATTTTTAAGATGCTCATGATCGACGAATTATCACAGGTAGTTCAACACTGACAGCATTTGGCTATATGATACATCTACCCATATTATCGTATATAATTAAACTGTACCATTACAATGCAGAATATTGTAAAAAAAAAAAAAAGAAAAAAAAGACCTATCCTGTCAATGCTAACAGTTAATTTAGACATTGCAGAACCATTGTCAGTTATTTGCTGATGTAGATGTTCTGCGCTGGCAGCTGTACAAACATCAATAAAGTCTAACTTTGTAAAACTGGTCAGGTAAAGGCGAATGCACAGTTTAATCTCACCGGCATTGGAACCTCGCAGATCGAATTAAATTCTTATCTGCTTTGACACTACATGCAGCATCATGGCAGTTTTTTTACTACTTACCAGCTAAGTGCTATTTCTTATTTTTATACCGTTTTTTCTGTTGTTTTGTTCGCTGACGAAGGCTTTCTGCCGACACGTTCGCTGTTTTGTTGCGTTTATTTTTTCAGGTTTAACCCTACTCTTTTTTACTCATTTTCTTTGGCAGTTTATGCCAGCGTCTTGGTACTTTTGGAAGAAAACCCGGTCAGGGATCTGATGAGCCTATATACCATGCAGGCATCACATCACGAAACTAATCTTGGCTAAGGTGTTCGATACACCAAAGAGACCTTCTCTGAGATCAAACTTCAAGTTGTTCAAAAGATTAGGTAAATGTTAAGGCTCCAGTGACCGGTCTAGGTACGAAAGTGGATTAGATGTAGATTTCCTATAACATTGACTCACTGTTCATTTCAGGATGGCATCATTCACTTCATTCGGCAACTATCAGAGTTTCAGTCCAGGGAAGGTTATCGTGAATTTCTGCAACTGAGAGTAGGGCGCAGGGCTGATATACATATTCAGGCGCCCGGAGTAAATAACCGAGCTCAATGAGCGGCGATGATAATTTAGAGTTTCAAACTTTTCCTGTATCTCTCCCAATTCCAAGTGACTTCACATGAACTGTCAACTCAAGGCCACTTCAACAGACGTGAACTGTCATCTCTAGGCCACATTCGTAATGAAAGTCCCTTTGAATGCACGGTTTACAGGCGCATGCGCCTCGTCTGCTCCGCGGAATGATCTGGACCTACTCCGTGAGCTGGAGAGTTATAAGAAAACACGAAGCTGATGCTACAACTACAAGAAAGTCATTCTCTGGAAATTGTCGTACTTTAGTGAAATCCTGGTCGGTTTCGAATTTTTTGACCTTTTGCGGTGTCAGTTGAGCTGAAGTCAGCAATGGTTACAGAGCTTGACCAAACACAACAACCCAAACAACAAAAAATCATTGATAAATTGTCCTCCACCCCACACTACCTGATTAAGTAGTCGTTCGACTTTGCATTGCAACGCACCAGAGAACTATTTACACCATTGTAGATGCAAATAACTTTCCTCATCAACAATCCAGATACACGGAGCAGTGACAATACCTACATTGTTGGCCAACGGAAGGTGAAACGTTTGAAAGTTATCAACGATGCAGCTGAGCAAGGGTAGTTTCCGGGGGGGGGGGTTAATTCAGGCGTTCAATAGAGACAAGACAAATTAAGAATAACAGAAAACGTACTTGCTGCAAGACGCAAGGAAACACCGTCGTGACTGTCCCAAACTCAAACAAGTCAGCCTTTACGGCAATGCGTTCAGCAACACCGGTAGGCAAATCACGGACATTTTCGGGTACTGTTTGAGGTAAACTATTTTTGTGCAAACATGTTTATAATTAAGTTCTTGTATATCTGTTAACAGCCTAGGATAGGACTACTTATTGAAGATTAAAAAAAACAAACAAACCAATATTCTGTATCATGATGTTAAAGTTAATATTGTACGATAGTACGGGGACAGCGGCGTGTATGGCAAAACTCTGGCAATGTTGAGCCACCTGTAAATAATATCAGAATACATCCCCCATTTTGTAGGCTTCTTTCTGTTCACATTAGGAATACATTTGATTGAGAGGAGGGGGGAGGGGGGAGGATGAAAATTAGAATATTAAATTTTTAAATGGCACACAAAGATTTAAAAAAAACGAATATTCTTTTTTTAAAATTGACTCAAAAGTTTACATAAAAAAAATCTTATGAAGTGTATGCGAAACATTCGCAGCGCACCAGCGCTTCGCCGTGCAACGGCTGGAGACAAAAAGCCCGCTGAATCATACCATAGTGGGCAGGCTGGATCTCCAGTGAGCGCAATAATAAAACAACGCCAACATGTTGACATCATTCATACTGGAAAAAAATTTGACAAAACATGCATTCAAGTAACGCACTTGATAAGAATCCAAAAAAAAAAAACAAAACAAAAAAAACAAAAACAAAACAAACAAACTATTACGCACCAAGCGCCACTTGCGATATTGAAAAAGAAAAAGAATCTCATTTAGCCCAGTAATCGGGATTTCTTTTTATCTCCCTTTAGAAAAAACAAGGAAAACAGATTTTTGGGGGCTTGGGGTCGAAAATTTGATAGAATGTGTTGCCAATCGGCAAAACGAGTTTAAGTGCCAAGTTTCAGCTCGATAGGCTGACGGGTAATGGGTCTGTCAGCCGTCCAAAGATTTTGCCACCCACCCGAAACAAAAGCGAAGTTAATATAAAGGATTTAAACATTAAATTATGTCTATTTTCTATAATATAAAACAACAAAATCCAAACGGGCATTTAGAAAAAAAAAAACAAAAAAAACAACAAACACACAAACTACCAACAATTCATTAACACAAGCAACAAACCTGGAAAACTAAGCATTATATTCGTCGATGATTTCCGATCGAAAGAATATATTTATCGATGATTTCCGATCACTTTAAAATGATACATCCATGAATGCAAGTATGTTGAATATTGTTAATATATACATCCCTTACTTAGTTTCAGCACATTCCATTTTGATCCACACCCCTTTAGCTCTATTGTTAAATCAGTTGAAATGAAACCTTGCAGTAACCATGGACAGTAAAAATTGTTTATTATTGTAACAGTGTAGACGTTTATACAATATAGATAAAGTATTGTACTGAATAATTATGGTCTAAATATTATAAACAGTTTTTTTTTGTCTGGCATCCGTCCGTCATAATGTGACGATGGAGTGGGCTTCGGAGGACGAAATCCACATGGCCTCGGATTATTTTTCAAGGATTATAAGCTGGTTCCCAACAGCAAATCGCCTCTCTCCACGCCGCTGGATAACCCAAGGGAACATCATTGGATGATACAGCTTGGCACCAGTGACGTCGCAGGAGTTGTCGCAATGTTTCATTGTACCAATGTTATCCGCCTTTCGGGACTCCATCTCCGGGTTTGATTTCAGAGTTTCCTTCTCTTAGATGAGTTGCCATCCAAGGTTAACGAGTCTCATCTACCCGGGGTGCTGGTGGTGTTTTTGCTTGACTGGCTGGAATTGAACTCCAGATCACCAACTTGAGATTTGCTCAGTTTAGGCCACCCAGCACATAAATATATATTTATTTATTTTAATAAATATTTAAGTTGTAATCAAAGTTTAACGGTAAATGGAGTGTGTACAAGGTTCTAAGAATAGACACAATGAATCCAAAGGTATAATGTATCAATAATTCAATCATAATCAACAATAGGTGACGTTTAATTACTACCAATACAAACGTAACCAAAAGGGACGAACGGCTGCACTGAACTCAGCCATAACAAGCATCAATAAATACCTGTAACACCGATAATGACGATAATGCATTTGTAATCGATGGGTGATGGGTAAAATCAATATGACAAGTGCCGTCCGTGGGTAAATGTAACATCTTTATTATATATATAAATATAAAAAAAAAGTATCTGTTTCCCATATATTACGTACTCGGAGACACGGAAGGCGGTAGCTGATTTAGGATAAATTTGCAAACGGGCGGGTACGGGTGAGGAGGAGCTGTCTCAACATAATGTGTACGTATACATTTGCACCAATTCTGGAATAATTATCCTGACAGTCCATAGATAACCTATATTTATATATCTAAGAAAGCCAACTGTCACATAACGGTTCTGTGAAATCCATGAATTAAAAAGATATTTATCATAGACTGCAAAACCATCGTGGGGAATGTTTCGAAACTATTGTCGCACTTATTTAGTGTTGTGTTGTTACAAATGAAATAGCCAGATATTGATTCATCGTTTGAACTACATTCTCAGTCCGTTTTAGGTCCAGTAACTTTGATTTTCTCAATAATTTGCAATTAAAAAGGTGGCATAGTCTAATGTATAGAGCATTTAGTAAAATAGGGTTTGTCAAATCCAAGACAGGAAGACGTCACATTGTTTTACGTAATGTTGTTATTTTTAGACAATGTTTTCGTAAAACAAAGCTTCTAACAATTTATAAACAATATATATATATATATCTATATCTATTTAGCAATAACAATTTGTTTGTAAAATCTTTCGTAAAATAAAGTTGCAAACACGTTTTCGTTTAGGTTAAGCCCCACTGTGATTATTCTGGTTAACATTAACTTGGAAGTACCGAACAGCTTTCGAGAGATTGGCCAAACGGAATACCAGGATGTTCTCTTCATATCTTAATGCGATTGGCATACACGCTGGAATCTTTCATATATTCACTTAAATAAATTTTAAAAAGTTCCCCCGACTAGACAAATGTCTCATCCACGCACCTGTTGAAAATGTTGCCTTTCACTCCATCATAATGGAAGCGTGAGGTAAAGCGAAGAAACACATTGCCTAAGAATATTATACAAAACGTTTTGTTTAATAAAAAAAAATACTTCCAAAAATACTTCACTACTTTCTCGGTTTTCTGTCAAAATCCATTAAAAAATTTTTTTTATTAAAAAAAAAGACAACCCAAAAAACTGAGGTCTATATTTCTGCCTATAAAAATTTTGCCTCTCACAAAATAATTAAAAAAAAAACAACAAAAAACTTAGCTGCGTTCACTTCGTGGTCTGACCGAGATACACACACACACACAATTGGCGAGACCTGTAAGAGGTGTTTTGATACTGGCGTCTCGGTCATTTCCGTTGAAAGCCATTCTCCGATGGCCTTGGCTCCTCTCTCATGTGGCGCCCATCACCTCGCCTGTTGCGTTAACAGGTTCACAGCGTATACCGGAGATTTTGGAAACGAGTTCCCTGTAATGCCTTCATTGCCTCGTCCACCCTCTCGCTCTGAGCCACTGTGAACCAGTTCTTCCAATCTCCGACATCCCCTGGCAAAGAGACAGATCATGATTTAACGCCAAGTCTGCTGGGTGCCATAGTAGGAAATATATATTATGTAACATTTGGATTGGGGGGGGGAAAGGTCAAATATATTCTATGTCCTATGTGTGCTGATAGATAAGGCCAACAAAATCAACACCCACGAGAATGATAAACTGTAACTTAAGTTACCTTTACGGAAGAAAGTCTTGAAAATAAAGTTCTTTAAGTCCAAGTAAGCCTTCTTCATGCCTTCGAACCCTGCAGCCTTAGCAATGTCTTCGACTAGCTGATCATCGAGAGATATCTGAAGAAAGTCTGCAATCTTTCTTATCTCCCTTGGCAGGTCCTATTGGCAAGCGGAAACGTGTTGACAGATTAGGAAAGAACTGAAGTGCTCAAGCTCTTGAATTTGATATTTATTTATATATATATTTATATATATTATTATATATATTTATATAAATTAAAAAAAGTTGTAACCTTTTAGTTAATAATTATTATGTTAAATGACGTGTCAGCACAGATGCACTGAACAATGTCCTATAACCCAACCGTTTTGTGGTCAATCAAATGGTGTGAGATGCTATTGTTTTCCCTTACCTCTTTCAGGTCTTCATAATTGACCACAAGTATAGACAGGTCGGGCTTGGACTTGATCACGTTATCCCAATCCTTGTAGTAGTCAAAGAAGGTGCCATACTCCACTTTGAGAAAGGTGGAAAAGAAAGATGCCGGATTATTAGTTACACTGTGCCTGCTTTAAGAGCCTATTTAGACAGAAGTTTGCACACCATGTTAACTAGCCCAGTCTATCAATGTTTGCACACCATGTTAACTAGCCCAGTCTATCAATGTTTGCACACCATGTTAACTAACCCAGTCTATCAATGTTTGCACACCATGTTAACTAATTCCGTACTTCCATGTTTGCACACTTGTTAACTAACCCAGTCTATCAATGTTTGCACACCATGCTAACTAACCCATGCTATCAATGTTTGCACACCATGTTAACTAACCCAGTCTATCAATGTTTGCACACCATGTTAACTAACTCCGTACTTCCATGTTTGCACACTTGTTAACTAACTCCGTACTACCATTTTTGCACACTTGTTAACTAACCCAGTCTATCAATGTTTGCACACCATGTTAACTAACCCAGTCTATCAATGTTTGCACACCATGTTAACTACCTCCGTTGTTCCATGTTTGCACACTTGTTAACTAACTCCGTACTACCATTTTTGCACACTTGTTAACTAACCCAGTCTATCAATGTTTGCACACCATGTTAACTAACCCAGTCTATCAATGTTTGCACACCATGTTAACTAACTCCATACTACCATGTTTGCACACCTAATTAACTAACACAGTCTATCAATGTTTGCACACCATGTTAACCAACCCAGTCTATCAATGTTTGCACACCATGTTAACTAACCCAGTCTATCAATGTTTGCACACCATGTTAACTAACTCCGTACTCCCATGTTTGCACGCCATGTTCACTAACCCTGTCCGTCCATGTAAAGCTGAAACCAGTTCTTGAAAGGTCCATCATACAGCTGCAAGGCCTTCAGAGCGACATGATGGTTGTGGTAGGAGACAGCGGTGTCCTTGGGGTTTCTTACCGTCAGTATCAGCTTCGTCTTTTTGTCTGATATCTGTCAGGATGAGGAACACAGTGAAGGAGGCCATTTCTATTTGTATAGACAGATTTAAGCATTCAATTCAATATCGTCCGGTAAACTTATATATGCAATCGGCTAGGTGTCCGTTCAGACTACCGCTACCCGTCAATCAGTCCCAACGCCTCAGAAGATAAGTGAACTGCATATACTAAGTAGGACTATCGTGTTGGGCCTCCATCCCAGTGTTTGGACCATATGGTAGAACCGTCGCGTGGGCCCCGTAAAGTGGGGGGGGGGCCTCGGATATTTAAGGGACTCAAAGTGGGGATGTTGAAACAAATCAACAATTAAATTTGTTTGTGGCACAAAACCGAAAAGTGATACGTGGGCCTCCAGAAGTCCGTTTTTTTCTGTTGTTTTGTTCGCTGACGAAGGCTTTCTGCCGACACGTTCGCTGTTTTGTTGCGTTTATTTGTTCAGGTTTAACCCTACACTACTCTGTTTGACTCATTTTATTCCTCCAGAAGTCACACGATGGATCTGACATAAAGCCATTATTAAATAAAACCATTTAAATTGCTCAATGGTTGGATAGAGCTCCATTTACTTGTTGAAAAAAATTATTATAATTGCAATGGAGCACGTTCACTAGGGGACGCAGATTTCGGGGCCATTGCTCTTTATTTTACTCAACGCTTATCTTCATCACGATAAACCAGAGGCCATTCATGCTCTCCTGTGACCACGCCACTGCAACGGGCACACACACTTCAATGGTAACAGCAATTGCTTGATTAACATTATATTTATGTGTAACATGCCATTGCAGACATTCGAAAGCTACTGAGAACTAAGTCCTACTTTAAAAAAAAAATAGTAGAGTTTATCGCATGTAGACACAAGGCACTTCACCGCTTCGGCCTGATGGATGCATTGAGCAGGTCAATAGAGATGTCATTGTGGTAGATATCTACGATAACATGACAATTTGTTCCACTTCTTGGATTTTTATCGCCACCTACTTGTTTCGGAAGATAGTCGAACCACATGTGAGAGCTCAGGACACGAGGGGAGGGAATCCCGTCCATCAGCTTACCAAGGCCCAGCTCCAGGAACGTGGATTTCTTGCCCACCTTTGAGATCTCACCTTCTTTTCTGACGATCATACTGACGACCTCCCACGTCCAGTGTGTGCCTTGAACGAGGAACAAGAGAAAAGTTATACACAAATATAGGAAATAAAGGAGTAAAAAAAGAGAAAGGTCAAACCTGAAAAAAAGAACGCAACAGAACAACGAACGTGTCGACAGGAAGCCTTCGTCTGCGAACAAACAACAGAAAAAAAACCCAGAATAAATAAAAAAAAAAAATAGCACTTTGCTGAGAAGTAGTATCCGAGAGGACAGCATAAGAATTGTGACAAAAATATATAACTTAACAACAAGGAATGGCCCAATGCGTGCCTTGAGCGAGGAATAAGAGACAGGTTATATGAAATCAATGAGTAATGGAATTTATAAATAAAGAAAGAGAAATGCTTTGAATTCAGAGCTTTCAGTGTTAAGTCTACGTGGCAGTCTGCTGGCATTGGAGTGAGAGCACACGTGACATGATCACGTGATGAGACGGTCAGGACAGAGGTCGGCGAAGTTTTAAAGAGCTAAGAGCCAGTTTGTAAGTGATGTGTGCTAAGAAAATGCCTGCACAGCCGCGGACATGGGGTGGATGGGGAGAACACATGTGCTACCTGTAACCTGGAGTAATCTTTTACTACTAATATTTTAAATCTTTATCAATCAACTACTTAACATTTGTCAATCAACTACTCAACCCTTGTCAATAAACTGATCAACCTGTGTCGATCAACTGCTCAAACTTTGTCTCCTCAATGATCTTGAGTTGGCCACTTCACGTGGCCCTCATTTGAGAAGACCCATCATCTCTTATCTTTCAACTAGACCCACCTGATCTTCTCATTAGTGACTTAATATTTTGGGACCACAATTCTTTTCAGTGCGACGCATGGAACTCGTTGGAAACACCCCCCCCCCCTTTTCCAAGTCTCTCGAAAGATCCACCCTGCAGCTGATGTATTCACCACTGGGGCACACCCCAACCCCTCAAAGTTACACCTGCACCCACGTGACCTCCCTCAAGTCTCTCGTAATATCCACCATGCAGCCGATGTCTTCACCACTGGGGCACACCCCAGCCTCTGGGGCACACCCCAACCACTGGGGCACACCCCAACCGCTGGGGCACACCCCACATACTCAAATTTACATCTTCAGCCACGTGACCTCTCACCTGTTTTAGGATAGCCGCACAAGAGGATGTCGTCGTCCCGAAGCTGCAGGTCTCTCATCTCCCTGTAGCCCTTCTCCTCAAACGGGGGCACCAGCTTCCCATCGTACGACCTCACCTTGTGCTCATGGCCGTCCACGTCGAACACGCTCTTGTTGCTGGACACGGTGAATTGCGGACTCTATGGAGGAGGGGGAGGGAAGTGGGCACGTTCAAGTTTAGGTCAAACTGAGTTGTTTTCTCTTGGTAATCGCTTTTTACCGGGTATATAATATTTAATTCTGATTTATAAAAGGCTCTCAGTGGGGAGGAGGTAGTCGGTAGCTGAGCGGAAAAAGTCACAGGAAAAGAAGTCAGGGAAAAGAAGTCACAGGAAAAGAAGTCACAGGAAAAGAAGTCAGGGAAAAGAAGTCAGGAAAAAGAAGTCAAATGAAAAGAAGTTACAGGAAAAGAAGTCAGGGAAAAGAAGTCAGGGAAAAGAAGTCACAGGAAAAGAAGTCACAGGAAAAGAAGTTACAGGAAAAGAAGTCACAAAGAAAGAAGTCACAGGAAAAAAGTCATAAGAAAAAAATGCACAGAGAAAAAAAATCAGATATCATTAATAAATCCTGACAAGTGTGGGGAAAAATAAATGTGTATATCTTTCGGTCCGACCACACTCCCTAAGGTGACAATGATGCGTTTGGGTGTGATTACACGTACGTGACTGTACAACAGCCGAGGAGCACCTTTCTGAAAAGATTGGGGAACAAACTAGTTTTTTTTATATCTTTCTGTCCAAAGCCGCATTGTCTCCATTCAGGCCATTGGTGCTTTGTCTGGATAGAGTTATCAGTAGACTAGTACAAGAAATAATGTCCCCTGCTTTCCTTTGATTCCTTTACAATGTGAGATGTATCGGAGAGATCAGAAGCGCCTTTATTTTCCTTGTGACTTTTTTCTTCCTGTAACTTTTTTTTCCCTACAATCAGTCGGTACGGTCAAACTGTCATAAAACACTTTAATTTCTCCACGGCAAACGCAATCTATCGGGTAAATATCTCTGCTGCAGTGGTTAGTGGTCCGTTCTGGTTTACAAAGGCTGCCATTTATTATTTTTACTCAACTTGAGTTGCATTTGGTTATCGTGTTTGGCATTGAAGGGCAGTTGACTAGTATTATAAATTGAATTATTCTGCAATGAGTTTGAGTACACACGAACTTCGATAAATAGAAATATCCCAAAACTTTTGAAGTGCTAATCGTCAATACAGTTTAATGTGATTAAAAATAGGATTATTATTCATCATTTTTATAATTACTTTTGATATTTGCTAATTTCGTACTTAAACTTAAATCTTCGTTTGAATCCTGACATCAATTCGGTGCTGTAGTCATTAAACCTTTACAAAGCGGAGTGGGAAAGGGGGGGAGCCAGCCCCGTGAAACAAAAAGCGTTATTTTCACGCCCGCTTCACGTTAATTTTGTGAGGCGTTTAAAAGCTTGTTACCAATCATCTCGCCTGAATGGGTAGCATTGAAAATCTGAAAATCTAATTCATTGAATGAATTGAATACTGCACGGTAATTAGCATCACTTGATATCGAAAAAATGTAATCATTAAATAATTAATTTATACGCTTAACATTACATAACATTTCATAAGCTCCAATAAGTTTGTTGCATATTAAACTAGCGAGTACCCGGCATGCTTTGCAATGCCACTCAAAGAAAGAAAGTGTTTGTTTTTTTATTATGTTTTGAAGTACTTTTTATATTGACCATATATTTTGTTTTTTCGTATTGTGCGTACACGAATAAATTGTAAGGTTTTTTCGACGCGAAAGCTGGCCACATACAGCAGCTGTCCACGTGAGAAGCATGGATTTTCTAAATTTCGTCCACAAACTTTAGCTCTTGATCCACAAATGCATTAGCTCTTTTTGAAATTTTATTTATATAGCACATTTAATAAAAGAAAAGAATTTAGGGCCCCCAGCCCAAAACGGAACATTGTAAAATGGTTGATCTAAGTAAGAAACCTTTGCGGGCGGGCGCGCAACAACTCACCGAAGTTTTTATCGTAATCGGATGAATGGTGTAGGAACACAACGGAAACTATATTTATATTGCTCATATTAGGAAAAAAAAAACAACGAATTTAGGGCCCCCGGGCCCAAAGGGAATATTATAGAATGGTTGTACTAATTCAGAAACCTACTTGTTATGTCACACACAACGTGGAATGTCGCCATTTGTATTTGATTCAATTCCACCCACCCATGCGTTAGCTCTGTTTTAAAACGATATTTATTTAGCTCAAATAAGAAAAGAAGGAATTTAGGGTCCCCGCCCCAAAACGGAATATCTTAAAATGGTTGTAGTAATTCAGAGACCTTTCCGGGCGTGTGCACAACTCACCAAAATTTTGATCGCAACCTGATGAATGGTATAGGAGCGTATACGGGACATACATACAGACATTCAATTATATTTATGTATATATTTATATATATTGCAATGAAGCAGAAAACTAAGTATTTAAAAGTAAAAAAAACATTTAAATAACTTACATCGCCTGGTTGTGAAGGTTCATCGGCCATTCTGTGACTGCAGACGTGCAAATAGTAACACTTAAGTGCAGGAATCCCCACAACGTGTTGGACTGTGGTACAAAGTGGGGATGATAAACTGTGGGTATGTGGTTAGACGTGTGGCCCGAGGGAGAAACTGGAGAGCCGATGTGGATGATCGTCCAATGTGGCAGATGTGTGTAAACCTGCTGAGTGTTTGTGTACGTATAAGGTGTTGCTGTGTGATAATGTGTGGCCCTGCTGTGTGTGTGTACGTATAAGGTGTTGCTGTGTGATAATGTGTGGCCCTGCTGTGTGTGTGTACGTGTACGGTATGGCTGTGTGATACTGTGTCTCCATGCCATGGCCCGTCAAGTACAGCACATCGCTGGCCTGAAGAAATTGGGCCCGTTAATGGACACACTATAAGTGGGTGGGGCCGTGCTGTGAGGGGTGAGCTTTAAGGAGCGACTTTTTTCCCCTTGTTGATTTTTGTTTTTAAACAAAACAACCCGTTGCTTAGCAACACAATTAAAAACAACAACGCCACCCTTAGCAACCGATGACGTCAAATGGTTAATGCTCACCGATTAACAAATGGTTTATAGTGACACGGGCGGGGGGGGGGGGTTACGTTACTCGGGCTTAGTTGGAGTTATGAGGTCGTCGTCGATTTATTTATTTATACCGAAAATTTCATTTCATTACTACTAGAAGATGTTACCCAGTGTTATCTTGATCAAAATGATCAGAGTATTGTCCAACAATAATTTTTTTTTATTATCATTTTTTTTTAAGAAAGCGAAAATAAAATGATGCTTTATTAAAAATGTGAGCCCCCGAAAAGTCACAAATCTAAAATCTTGGGACCTATGGTGATGTCAGAATAGATGGTGATCCATCGAGTGGCTTAACTAACTATCCTGAATACAGAATAGATGGTGATCCATTGAGTGGCTTAACCAACTATCCTGAATACAGAATAGATGGTGATCCATTGAGTGGCTTAACCAACTATCCTGAATACAGAATAGATGGTGATCCATTGAGTGGCTTAACCAACTATCCTGAATACAGAATAGATGGTAATCCATTGAGTGGCTTAACCAACTATCCTGAATACAGAATAGATGGTGATCCATTGAGTGGCTTAACTAACTATCTTGAATATATGTACATTCATTACGATTTCTTATTTCTGTTTTTTTTTTTTAAACTGAAGTCTCCATGTTTCATCATTTTACGATGCTTTTAAATGTTTTACCGTAAGATCAAAGCATGCTTCTGTAAACACCCCGACATCCCCTACTCTAAAAAGTCAACGCACAGTTTGAATTGGAAAATGATGATGGCACAATAGGGCTTGTCATTTAAATGGCGGAAATCTTTTAATAGAACTGATGTCACCATTACTGATCATCCGGGTACTCAGCGCGGACAAAATGTCAACACTGTTCAGTATTACTATGTTAGCGAAGTGTCCTTGAAACTTGTTTACAACTCTATTTTACGAAATATTTTACACATTTTTTTTTACTTCTCAAATGCGACTTCATTGCGTGAACGTCATATGTAACAGTAACTCTAGATACAAGGATCGCCCGAACGATATGCCGAAACACACTATAAGCTGCCATGTTTTAAGCAATATTTGTCCGCGGACCTTCTAAAAATAGTACGCTATGACGTTTTCCGGTCTGAGAAATGACAAAGCCTATTAACAGTGATCTGAGATTATCCATCCGACAAGTTTGTTCTCAAATTGTTCTTCACGTATTTCATTGTTGAAAATTTTTGTTTGCACATGTATGTTGTTCCAAAAGTTGAAAGGTACCTTGATGCAAAAGGTCTGACCTTAGGAAAGTCTTCCTGGTGCAAAAACAGATAAAAACCCACCAGTCCTTCTTTGAACTTGTCGCTAAAGGGGGTCATTTGTGCGTGCAACTCAATGACCTCCAGCTGCAGCTCATCATTTTGCAATGTAGCGATCGGTTGGGAAACGTAAAGAGCTACTGCACGCCTCTATTTTAATTCGGTAAAAACATAACGTCCACGTAAGCGGCGGCTGATCTTGGCAGGATACACGTAAATTTACGTATTTTTTTCCCCGTTGACAAAAAGGTCTCCGCGGGCCGGATGAGAGGGCCTAGCTGGAGACCCCTGAGCTAAAGAGTAGGCTAGAGAATAGGCTAGAGAATAGGCTAGAGAATAGGCTAGAGAATAGGCTAGAGAATAGGCTAGAGAATGGGCTAGAGAATAGGCTAGAGCATAGGCTAGAGAATAGGCTAGAGAGTAGGCTAGAGAATGGGCTAGAGCATAGGCTAGAGAGTAGGCTAGAGAATGGGCTAGAGCATAGGCTAGAGAATAGGCTAGAGAATAGGCTAGAGAATAGGCTAGAGAATAGGCTAGAGAATAGGCTAGAGAATAGGCTAGAGCAGGCCTGCACAACTCAAAATGGAAGGCGGACCGTAATAGTTTATGACAAACTTGTGCGGGCCAAAAACAAATACAACAGGATTTGTGTGGGCCAAAAGAAAATTGGACAGTTGGGGAAAGCTATTAAGAAATTGATAAGAATAAAGAATATTTAGTTACTTCGCGGGCCGCTAAGTGGGTACTGGCCCGCGGGCCGTATGTTGTGCAGGCCAGGGCTAAAGAATAGGCTAGAGAGTAGGTTAGAGAGTAGGATTGAGAGTAGGCTAGAGGGTAGGTTAGAGAGTAGGATTGAGAGTAGGCTAGATGGTGGCTAAATAGTAGGCAAGAGAGTAGGCTAGAGAGTAGGCTAGAGAGTAGGCTAGAGAGTAGTTTAGAGAGTAGGCTAGAGAGTAAGTAGGGTTGTTAAAATATCAATAAACAGCAAGAAAGTGGAGAAACCAACTTATAAGGGAAAGTACCGTTGTGAGAACTGAGAACAAGGTCAAGGACAGAATTGTTACTAATGTTGAATTCGTTGAAATTACATCGACATTATTTAGCATCACTCAGCATTTAGTTCAAATAAATAATTTATTTTATGTCCATCTGGAACTAAAGCCAAGACAGAGATAGAGAGAGATAAATAGAGAGATAGATAGATAGAGATAGATAGAGAGACAGAGAGAGATAGAGAGCGATATACAGGTAGAGAGAGAAATAGGCAGAGAGAGATAGAGCTGCGCGAGGACAGTTCGTTAAGATAAAAGACCTTGAGACGAAGCAATAGATTCGTTATTTGTATTACAAGCATATAGCATGTCAGAGATAGGAACGAGGTCCCAAAAAAAAAGTAGGCCACGGTATGGTAACTTTGCTTGAGTCTAATGGCACCCGGGTGCGAATGGCGGCGCAGCGTGTCTGGATAAGCGCTATTCGGATGTCACTTGTCGTAGTTTATTTTAGTTCAAATGAAGAAGTCAGTTTACAAACATATACTCCATTCAATTGTTTTTTCTTTTTCTACCCCATTTTGTCTTACAGACCCGCAATGAAATTTTAAATAGTTTTGTAATCCCAACCTACCTCTTCTTCTTCTTCTTCTATATCTTAATGGCCAACGATCAATTTATTGAGCATTTTGGCTCCCATGCATATAGATGGGATTTGCAATGTTTCTGTTCCTGGTGTTGATGAGGAAATTTCACATATTTCCAGGGCCACTTTGTGAGGGAAACATGCACTAGGGGTTTGAAGGCTTGAGGCAATAGACACTTCTGGTACCCGGGTACGAATAGCCACTTCGTTTTCCTTACATCATAGTGAAACATCAAATAAACCCCGCACTAATATTTTGAATTAAAAGTCAAGTGTAGCGCTATCCTTTGATTTTCAAATCTGATTTGTTCAAATTTGTTAATTTGTTCTTTGATGGGATGCACTCTTAGCTGTGACATCTGTTGAAAGCTGTACGAAGGCTAAATACATCCTATAACTCAGTGGTTCTCAACCTTACTAAACAAATTAATACAGTTCCTCATGTTGTGGTGACACTCCCCCCCCCCCCCCCAACAAAAAATTATTTTTGTT